TTTCTGTGTCTATAAATCTACATTTCCGTGTCTATAAATCTACATTTTCCTCTGTCTATAAATCTACATTTCTCACTGTCTATAAATCTACATTTCTCACTGTCTATAAGTCTGCAGTTTCCTCTGTCTATAAATCTACATTTTCCTCTGTCTATAAATCTACATTTTCCTCTGTCTATAAATCTACATTTCTCACTGTCTATAAGTCTGCATTTTCCTCTGTCTATAAATCTACATTTTCCTCTGTCTATAAATCTACATTTCTCTCTGTCTATAAATCTACATTTCTGTGTCTATAAATCTACATTTCCTGTCTATAAATCTACATTTCCTCTGTCTATAAATCTACATTTTCCTCTGTCTATAAATCTACATTTCTCACTGTCTATAAGTCTGCATTTTCCTCTGTCTATAAATCTACATTTCTCACTGTCTATAAATCTACATTTCTGTGTCTATAAATCTACATTTTCCGTGTCTATAAATCTACATTTTCCTCTGTCTATAAATCTACATTTTCCTCTGTCTATAAATCTACATTTCTCACTGTCTATAAGTCTGCATTTTCCTCTGTCTATAAATCTACATTTTCCTCTGTCTATAAATCTACATTTTCCTCTGTCTATAAATCTACATTTTCCTCTGTCTATAAATCTACATTTTCCTCTGTCTATAAATCTACATTTCTCACTGTCTATAAATCTACATTTTCCTCTGTCTATAAATCCACATTTCTCACTGTCTATAAATCTACATTTTCCTCTGTCTATATAAATCTATAACATTTTCCTCTGTCTATAAATCTACATTTTCCTCTGTCATAAATCTACATTTCTCACTGTCTATAAATCTACATTTTCCTCTGTCTATAAATCTACATTTTCCTCTGTCTATAAATCTACATTTTCCTCTGTCTATAAATCTTCATTTTCCTCTGTCTATAAATCTACATTTTCCTCTGTCTATAAATCTTCATTTTCCTCTGTCTATAAATCTACATTTTTCTCTGTCTATGTCTATAAGTCTGCATTTTCCTCTGTCTATAAATCTACATTTTCCTCTGTCTATAAATCTACATTTTCCTCTGTCTATAAATCTACATTTTCCTCTGTCTATAAATCCACATTTCTCACTGTCTATAAGTCTGCATTTTCCTCTGTCTATAAATCTTCATTTTTCTCTGTCTATAAATCTACATTTTCCTCTGTCTATAAATCTACATTTTCCTCTGTCTATAAATCCACATTTCTCACTGTCTATAAGTCTGCATTTTCCTCTGTCTATAAATCTACATTTTCCTCTGTCTATAAATCCACATTTCTCACTGTCTATTCAGCACCTATTAAGTTTACACTGTCTATAAATCTACATTTTTCTCTGTCTATAAACTACATTTCTCACTGTCTATAAATCTACATTTTCACTGTCTATAAATCTACATTAGTCTATAAATCTACATTTTCCTCTGTCTATAAATCTACATTTTCCTCTGTCTATAAATCTACATTTTTCTCTGTCTATAAAGCTATAATATGGTTTACCTGAGTACTAAGTTTGTTGTGCATATTTTTCAATATTTTTGTGACCAGGATTTTACATCTAAAATGACTGATCAACATTTATGACAATAAAACAATCCATTCACCTGGAAATAGTGAATGAGTAAGACACCTGGAGTGACTGTGATAGGCAGGAAGTCTAAACATGTGTAGGTATTTACTGAAGTCTACAAACACACTACAACACTGAATCAACTACCCATTTATCACACCAGTTTTCAGCACCTATTACGCACGGAACAGGCAACAAAACTATTACGTAAACTTCAAGGAAAGTTGAAAGAGAATGCTACATGCTGTTTTTACTTCTTTTTTTTATGTTGAAGCTATTGGGTGGTATAAAGGCTGAGGTAGTTGGATGTTCTAGTTTTTTTGTTTGTAATACTATTACACATCATTCTCATCCTCATGTACTTATCCCTGGCAAATAGCCTCCAAACCACTCACATCCTTCCCTAGTCAACTCCTTACACACTCACCCTAGTCCAACATCCCCATGTACTTACCCCTAGCACATAGCCTCCAAACTACTCACATCCAACTCCAGTCAACTCCTTACACACTCACCCCAGTCCAACATCCCCATGTACTTACCCCTAGCACATAGCCTCCAAACCACTCACATCCAACTCCAGTCAACTCCTTACACACTCACCCCAGTCCAACATCCCCATGTACTTACCCCTTGCACATAGCCTCCAAACCACTCATATCCCACCCTAGTCAACTCCTTACATACTCAACCCAGTCCAACATCCCCATGTACTTACCCCTAGCACATAGCCTCCAAACCACTCATATCCCACCCTAGTCAACTCCTTACACACTCACTCCAGTCCAACATCCCCATGTACTTACCCCTAGCACATAGCCTCCAAACCACTCACATCCTACCATAGTCAACCCCTTACACACTCACCCTAGTCCAACATCCCCATCCATAACAGCACATATCCCCACCCCACCCTCTGACCCAGTCATAACCCTAACACACCTCCATCCCTGTCCCCATATTTTCCCATTACCTCCTAGCCAGGACACATACTTGCCTTGTCTAAACTACAGACAGATTGCATGTTTTCTTCACTGTCATCCTGGAATGTCATTATACAATAGACTGCCCTATGTCATACTGACAAGGTTAAATATTCTGTCACTTTTCTAGGTTAGCCATTAAACTTATGAGTAAAAGAAATAAAGCAACTGACACCTACATTGTTGGTCCTATCTTTTTTCCCTACATGAACAGCAAGATGATTTATGTTGAAATAGCTGTATTATTGTAAAAAAAATAAAACGTCTAAAAATTCAGAATAATATTTTAAAGATGTGCGATGTGTGTGAAGGGATTTTCTAGTAATGGACAATGATCTTCCCATGCTGAAGAGCAGTTTATTTTTTATTCTTAAAGAAAAATTTTTATGTGTGTTGATATATATTCACAAGAACATATATCACTTTGCACCCTTTCAGTAACTTTTATCATACAATGTATTTCATGCTTATAAAACACCATTTAGCTATAAAAAGTTAGTGCATCACTGTAAAGCCTGGCTATAATTTGTCATCTTTAAGTAGACTGGTATGATGCCATCATTATCACAGAGATCATCAGTGATCCAATCAGTGAACAGCACCTGTACACTGTCACCTAACATCCATTTAACACTATCACTTGACAAATACCTGAACGAGTCACCAATTACCCGATTCTCTATACAGATAATGCATCTTTCATCTATGATTACTATTTTTTATTTCACAATTCATTAGATTTTTATCAACATAGCGGTAAGCGGCTTTTTTACTGAGAGCAAAAATTGTTTACAATCTGATTTGTTTTTCATTTTAATTTATACCACACTTGTGTTTCCAACAAAATTTTGTGGCTAATTGTTAACAATTTCTTTTATTTAAGTCTTTCTCATTGATCAACACTGACTTTCTTTTTTTATAGCATTCCTTTCATCTACTTGTATCATTTCCGTTGCGAGTATTTTGACTCTTCAATCTTCTTTCATCATATTTCTCAAACACTTTAAAAGACCAACATCCGGAGATGTATCATTTTTTTACATTAGTGCTTGTTTTTGTCACATTAAATCTGATTAAAAGTTTTTCTGGGAAACATGTTTACAGAAAGAAAATCTAAACATACGTCTTGACAATATTGTATTATGTACCAGAAATAGTTAAAAAATATATACATATTTAACATGTGACATATATGGTGGGTTTTTTTCCAAATTGATGACACTTTCCTTAAATAGGCAGTAATGGTGAAAATAACAAATGCCCATCTATTACCAGTAGTATAAACGACATCTAATAAATTATCAATCTTGAGCTCTTTTATGTTACAGGAAATAAAAATGAGCTTCCTGTCCCCTGACAACCGAGCAGAGCTACAGGCCCGATGCTGAAACAACAGTCTAGGTATATTATCACCTGAGGCACTTAAAAGCAAATTAATTCATCAATTTCATTAGCAGTTATCACCTGTATAGCTGATCTACTTACGGCGGCTATGTTTGCATCGTTTATCCCTGTGTATCCAAGGCCTGGTGCTGATAGGGCTATGGTGTGACTAATTTTATTAATGGTAGGTCTGACGAGGGTTTGATTTGTGTATGGAGATTGACTGTGTTTTTATTAGAAAGATATCAATGATATGGATGAGATAGTGTGTGTTTATCCTGGTGTAGAAATTAATGGTGTATTAAGTACCATTGTAATATAAATACAAACCTAGAATAATACCATTAAGCTGTACTGTATGTGTACAAACTAGCCTCCGACTGAATCAACATGTGTTCATCATCTCCATACCTTTACATGGGCTTTCAGACACTAACACAAACCTCACCTGTACACAGTATATATATATATATATATATAGATTTCACAGACAATAACACAAACTCCTACCTCTACATGGTATAGAGAGAGATTAAAATGCATTCAATTCCTAAATACAATTCAATTCTAACATATTCTGTCTACTAATTCAATGAAATCCTAGAGAATTTCTTTTCTACTGGAATTAAAACCTTTCTAACCGCAAATCTCAGTATACAAAGGTCTCCAAAAGTCAGAACAGCAAGAAAGTGTTTTGTTTACACAGGTGTTTGTAAAGAAAGGTTTTTAAATTATTTTCTAAAATAAAGGAATGCATTGTTTGAAGAGGTTTTAGAATACAGAGGTTTCTTTATCTAAGGGGTTTTAGAATAGTTTTTTTATATCTGACCAAACAAGTGAATGCTTTAAGGAGTTCTAAGACACAGGTGTATGTAAACCTCACACCATAAAGTGAACATCTTCCTTTCAAGGATTCTAGGATACAAGGGTTTCTAAAATCTCATCAGGACCTGGGAATGCTTGATTTTGATATTGTGATTTTCTTATTATCACAACGAAGAACAATTGCACAGTTGAACTTACCTTGATTATATGACCATCTTGTGTACCGAGAAATCCAACAGTATAACTGTGGGTGGTCGTCACAATGATAGTTGTGATAGCCTTGTTGATGAGGAGAGCAGCATCTGTCACAATTGGATCCTGGCCGTTGATTGGTGTGTTGAAGTCTTGAGATCCACAGTAACCATCGTCAATATCTTTGAGGTAAGGCTGAATCAACAAATTAAGTATTAATCATGCAGGTAACGTTGTTCTTGGTTTTTTTGTCAAATGCTAGATTTTGACTGAACTTCTAAGGAATATTTACAACAAGGGGTTCTGTAACTTCATTTTGCAGAAGTCATGATAGAAACTAGATCATATTTCCCCTTTTCTTTTGATCACAAATTCAATTTTGGAAATAATGATCTGCAATACTACATTTTGCAATCATATTCAAATATACTTGAGTCTTATACAAATATACAATTTTCACGAAACAAATCAATTTAAAGGAGAAAAACAAAAAATATCCAATCAAATCAAGCTAAACAGATCGCAGATCTCTAAATAAGAACAAAAATATATTTACCGAACTTGAGCACGGGATTGGCTTAACAATGTAATCTGGCCCTGTATCCCCAGTACCATTGAAACACTTTCGAATATTTTCTGTGAACATTTTGCGGACTTCCTTCATCGGAAACACACACAAGGCTGATTCTCTGGCATTAGTGGTGGCCTGGTATGGGGAACCCCTGGAGAATACTCCAAACAACACATCCTCTGTTAGATTCACCCCAAGTTCCTCCGCCAGGACTGTCCCAGGTTTGACCAGGTACAAGGCTTGAGCAAGATTGTAGGTTACACCACCGTAGTTACACTGTAACTCCACCTCTGTATAGGAGCGGAATTTTTCATCCTCGTTACAAACACGAATCAGTTTGGATATGAACTGTGCCTTTGATGCAGTGCTTGATTTTTGCACAGTAACAATATAGCTAAACAGGTTTGTAGAGACACCATATATATAGTAGATCGGAAACGACTGACGATGTAGCTGTTCAATAGCTTTGCCAGATTGGTCCTGAAAAGTATCCCAGGTTAACTTGAAATTGTCAAGACGTCGACTGCTGAATGCCTTGACCAGGTCGCGTACCCCACTTTGGCCAGTGTTGGTCCAGGATGCCCCGACATATAAAGCATTCGTCATGATGTTTTTCTGCGTAGGCCCTGGTCCAATGAATACGACTGTGGTAGCTGTACGGTTGTTAGCCACCACCGGTATATACATTATTTCATCCGTTCGACTGATGTTGGACAGCCACCGTTTTTCACAGTATCCATGAAAAAGAGTAGAACATGATATCAGCCTCTTTTCGGATTCAATCGAGTTATCCATGATCACTAATGCTTTGTTGTAATTTTCCCTGAAAGTGAGTTCATATCTACAATAGGCAGTCCCTCGTGGTGGTGGAAGACAATCTGGGTTATCCTTTTTTGGGCCGGTAACTGCTTCTTGTTCTAGTATCAAATCAGATGAAAACTTGTACAGATTGTTGACTGCAGCGACAAAAAGCTTTCCACTACCCACATCGCGCACCATGTTGATAAAGGTTTCCTGTGGGTGAGGGTTGGGGAACGTTGTTACTATATAGTTAGTCTGCTTACATAGAACTACAGAGGATAAACAATGTAGTACAAGCAGATGGTAACAAAAGTTTATAATCTTCATACTGGATGACTTGCTCATCCTCACAGCACGTTTTCACAACATCTACTTGCTACCAGTGCACACATCTAGTCCATCCAACCTGCAGAGAAAACAGACACACAGTCAATAAAGGATTTTCATAAGAATCAAGGTTAAGAAAATGTTTTGACAAGCATCTGGATCAATACAAATTTCAAGAGTATTCATTCAAGGTCAATGTTCTGATATGAAAGAAAATCAACTGAAAAAACTATATAGAATGTATAATACCAAAATATTCATTGACACATGGGATTGACTTAAGATACATGAAGCAAACTGCCACGATTATCTCCACTTTCTGTCCGACTTGCACTAGAACAGAAATCAATAAGAAAACATAGAACGATATTGATTCAAGCTCTAAATCTTGTGAATACCTTTGTACCACTAACAATCAAAACTGACAAGTGTCTCCCAGATGATGTTTCATGCATATAAAACTATTCCTGATTTTCAACAGATGAAGTCAAAGCGTCTACCTAATTCTTATTCAAAATATGAATCAAACAGTTTAGAACCTTTTACTACTGTACTCCCTACACATGGAGTTCTGGTTACAATTTGTAATTATATTACACAACATTATATACAAGTTATTGCTATAACAGAACAGGGGAAAACACTTTGCAGTCAAGACCCCAGACATGATATCTCCAGTGTGCTAATCCATGGCTCTACCAACACAGCCAAAACAAATTATGTTCTAACAGTTGAATGAGAGTTTTGTTCTGTTTATCTGAATATATTTTTTTTGTGTGTGTTCAATGTTCTTGCAACAGCATTGGTCGTATGAGGACCACGACAGTATTTAACATATTATGTACAAGTCACATTGGCCCATTTCATGGCAATAGTAGACATACAGTATATATCTTCATGACAATAATAAATAAAGGGTTATAACACTGTAACATACAAAATTTGGCATTTATGACCAAACTCTGAGGTGTATATAAAATTTGCACCTTGAACATAGTATGAAAGACTAAAACTGAATAGAGGATTGAAATTTCAAGGGCCATAACTCTTAAAACAAAATCTACTTGTAAACTGCGCAAGGGAGTATGTGTTTCTTATTATGTCAAAATGATTAAAAAAACATGACTGTTAAATGTCAATTGTCTTTCCAACCATTTACATAAATTATGGCTAACTGCTTTATATATGTAGAACTTCTTTTTCTTACGTTGATTATTCTTGCCTCAAGCAATAACAAGTACCTAACAAAGGATGAATCAAACTGCATGTTTCTGCCAGTACATCATCCACAGTTGATCTCCACAGTAGATCTCCACCACCACAATCTTGTGATACACAGTGATTTATACTTACTGTACAGCATAGTAGCATTTCAAAGTGAAAGTAAATCATCAGAATTCAAGGTCAAACACAAGGTTTGTCCAGAATTGATGAGGCCAGTATAGTAGATGACAAGGAGTTATTGCCCACAGCTATGCCCCTTGAATCTAGTCACACAACCAGATCTCTTAACAGGACTTCTCATTCTGGCCAAGTGTGCCAGCTGTGATTGTTAAACCTTTTCTTTATATTTTTAATATGATCAACCATTTTGTATCAATTGCTGTAAACTAGAATTAGAATTTGTTGTAATAGCACGTCTTGAACTGCCATTATATGGAATGTACATTCTTATTAATGCGGCGACACAAAAGATATTTTCTGATCAAAATTTCTTTTCTCAAATTTTCCAAAACTTTTCCATATTTCACCAACAGAACCTGACAGCTTGAACATCACCCGTGAAAATCTTTATCAAATTGCTATAAAGAAAATGTGCAAAAATTAGGGATTATGGACAGATCCCTCCTAACCCTGTATCTTTTTTCTTCTTTTTTCGGTTTGGCTTAAAACCTGCTTTAGATTACAGTTGCTACTTATGGTAACCTTTGGTAACAGGTATCGCCTTAACCCCCAACACACCTGATGTACATATTTTAAATGTAACAGGTTTCAGCTGTTGTACTGATCATAAGCTGCAATGTCCTGTTTTTTCTCTTAGAGACCAGTAAACATGTGATACCTCCTATAGCAGTAACATACACTAGGTATATTACATAACTCAATCTTTTAATTGAAAAAAAAAATCCAAATAATCTCTTTCTCAGTGTACACAGAGTAGTATATGAGGTTGATTTCGGAGAAACTACCAGCTGTAATACATAAAGTTAAAGATTACTGTGAAAATGATACAAAATTGGAAAATAATTTGCATCTTTCTGCTGATACCATTGGTATACATGTATGCGTTCCATCTTCACTTGTGTTTAATCAATGGTAGAGATACTAGTTAAGTCTCATTTTAATTACTACTATTTTGTCAGAGACTCGCATTCATGTGAGATAATTGGAGAGAGAAGGTTTCTCCAGGTAGTCATTATATCACTGATGCACTAGACATGGATCTGTGGCTGGTACTCGTTTATGTTACTCCAAACTAGGTCAGGTAAAGCATTCCTCAGTAAGGTGATAGCATCAGCTCACTACCATCAGGAAACATACTATCACATTAGCATTTAAATAACTCAAATACTTCTCTCAGGTGCAAACGATTTCACCTTTCCTTCTTGTAAACCAACAATTTCACCTTCAGCTCTCGTAAACTACAGAAATAAAAACACCAGTAAAGACATTTAATATACAAACTTTAGAAAGTTTCGCTTTAGATGTTCACACCTTTCATCAGCGGAGTTACAACCCTGATCGAAACTGTGACATTCCAAATCTACGACATAATGACAAACCAATTGGCCTGTTTAATACTGGGACTTTTTCCTGCCATCTTCCATCAACAATAGTTACTTGTTTGCTAGTGATAAGTATATTCTGTGTTACATATTCGTGATGGTAGATATCTCTTGATGATATACTAAAACCTTTATCCTACTAGACAGTTTACACAGGAGATGTTTTGAGACAATCCCTAATCCATTATTAAAACACCATGAATTTAATCAGTTTTTGTGCATCCAAGATGATCACCATAATAAATCTGTTTCATTTTCAGTATTTTCTTTAGCATTTACAGAAATTGATTTGAAATAGTGCCTCATTACTTACAAAACCATCAAAATCAGATTATAAATATTATATAGCATGATAAAGATCACTATTTCTATTGCAGCACCATCAAGATATTAGAAGATATTTACTGGCTCTGTGCTTAACAGAATTTACTTTGAGATGTTCCCTGGTTATACTACAGAGAAACCATCATTCAAACTTCATGTTTGATTTACAGAATTTACTTTGAGATGCTCCCTGGTTATACTACAGAGAAACCATCATTCAAACTTCATGTTTGATTTACAGAATTTACTTTGAGATGCTCCATGGTTATACTACAGAGAAACCATCATTCAAACTTTGTTTGATTTGCAGAATTTACTTTGAGATGCTCCCTTACAATCCTAGAGAGAATCCTGATATAAACTTGCTGTTTGATTTAACATGATTTGCTTTGAAATGCTCCCTGGTTATCCAATCGAGCAGCTATGAAGTAAACTTGCCATTTGATTTTTGCAGGATTAGCTTTGAAACAATCCCTGATTATCGTGTAGAACCACCATGACACAGCCAACCCTATAATCTTCCAAACACATCCTTACCTTTGAACGGAGAATATGGACTGAAAGCCTGTAGCCATACCAGTGGGGAATCCTGCAGTAATTTATACTTCTATCATTTATAGTTAATATTTATATCTGAATGAGCTGTACCAGATTACCTTTCAAATTCTTTATACAGCCAGAAATAGTCTACACCTTCATGTTAGCAGTGGATGTAATACAAACCCAATCCCAGCGGGGTTCAGTGAAATACCATAACATACTTTGTAGGTTAAATCCAATGATATTTATTCGATAATACACCAGTAGGTAAGCTTTCCCAAGATCTTTTGAATGTATATAAGCTCAAGGAATTTTTCTTATCATGGTACAGTGAATTTACTGCAGTTCAAAATAAATTTCTAAATATCTGAAGCAAAGATGCATTTAAAACTTTCTACATATTTACATTGATTTCCTAGGTACTCTGTAAATTTATATGTTCATCAACTGTTAAACTACGTGTCAGAAGAAGAAAGCTCATTAGACCATATTTATCCATGAAATCAAGAGTTCACATATAAAGTATTGTTTTAAAAAAACAAGAAAACTAAAATGGTTTTACTGCATTCAGGCATGGGATATATTTAAGTTTACAATACCAGAAAGTTTAAGAGAAAATGTTTCTATCTACCATAAAATTAAACGTATGTAACCAAGCATTGTCCTTACAATGGTATACTACTAACACATGCCTTAATTTGATAATCTGAGCTATGCTTTCCCTACAGGGAAAATACATGATATGTATAATGTGATTAAGTCTGACAGGAATAAACGTTAACCTATCCCTTACTTTATAATCTTTTTGTCTTGCCTCGATACCACTAATACGCCTGTAAAGCACACCTTGGCTTTACGTAAGATCCATTCACCTATTGTATATCCTGGTATGTCAAGTCAATGTAGACGACACAACTAATCATTTAAAATTGTCACCTACAAGTTCCTTATCTCTGAGTCTACCTTCTAGGACATTGAAGGATCACACCAGCCAGGCTTTAATATACAAATCACTTCATTGTTTCTGCCCTTTGACAAGAAAAAAAATTGGATTAAATTTCAAAGCATTAAATATAGAACCTGGCATTATCAAGGAAATTGGGACCAAGTTCTTAACGCATAAAGTTGTTACACTTCACAAAGTCATTCATAATTCTATCATGTTTTTATACCTGGGTGTGCTTTAATGTTAGATCATAAACCTGGGTGCGCTGTAGTATAAGTTCAAAGGTTACCTCAAATCTTCCCATTAATCATTCGTGGTTTTCCATATTGGTTCATACTTTGATCATTTAAGAATTTCTTTTGTTTTAATTATTTAACTGATGAAAGATTCAGACATTTAAATCAATTTTCAATTTAAAACAATACCGAAAATCCCCATTGAAACGGTATAAAGATTTATGGTCCATATTTAAAGGTAACACTT